ATTGCTTACAAACAGCTCACTTATTTTACTGTTTCGATAATATGTACTTCATATTTAAGAGGGAGTTTCATCAGTGCTGATGGCCTGGTGACTGAAGAAATCTCAGAACGGATACAGAAGGCTCGATTGGCTTTTGCCAACCTGCGTCACTTATGGCGTAGACGAGATATCCGTTAGCTGACTAAAGGACGAGTGTACTGTGCAGTAGTTCGATCCGTCTTACTATATGGCTGTGAAACATGGCCATTAAGAGTTGCAGATGTTCGTCGGTTATTGGTTTTCGATCATAGGTGTCTTCGAAGCATTGCTCATATATCCTGGGACACCCGAGTGAGAAACGCTGTTATTAGGAAACGGGTGCTAGGTAAGAATAGCAGATCAATAGATGAAGTAGTGAAACTTTATCAGTTGAGGTGGTTGGGACATGTGCTGCGTATGCCTAACCACCGACTGCCTCGTCCAGCTTTGTTCTGTAGTGTAGGAATAGGTTGGAAGAAAGTAAGGGGCGGCCAAACCGAAACAGGGCAGAAATCCATGAAGTCATTGACGAGTAGAATAAGCCATGTCGGTAGTTGTCGACTACCTCGTCGGGGTCCACGAGATGATAATAATCGACGGTTAGATACCCTGAATGACATGGCTGAAAATCGTTCGCAATGGCGCCGGTGCATTTATTCTATGTATTCTCTCAAATCCTAATCTTCTGGATTCTTCAACACCTCTAGTTTCGACTTTCTAAACTTTCCTCACTGAATCATATTTCTTGAATATCTTTTAATCCTAACCTCTCCGATTACTTCTAATACCTTTACTACCTCTCCTACTATTGGATTTGAATTGACAATTACATCTCTGTGTGCTAATGTTGTATGTCAACATGAACTGATGCACTTACGTACAAAGTTCTACGTTGCATCTGACTGATTGACTCATATTTAAGAATTCGATTGTTCGTTAGTACTTAGTAATGTATACTAACAATTACATACACATTTAGTGATGCGTTTTCCAATATTTAGACAAAAAAAAGATTGACCTTCAGTTAGACTGAAATGAGTTCACTGATCAATTTTTCACTGAGTAACAAACATAGCTATAAATATAACTTCAAATTTCAACTGTCATATTTTATAGTTTGAGAAGAATTTAGAACATGTTATACACTAGATACTATAAGCAATAGTATAGATGAGTGTGTTCAATAATCATTTCCTCTATAAATCATTCTGTTCACATTGAGTAATCAATTGGTATGTTACAATGCTAATGATATATTTTATTGTGCTACATTCATATTGATCCGATACAAACACTATAATTTAATACAAAATATCTATGTGAGAGAAGCACGTATTATTGAGATTATGCTAAGCCAAGATACTATATGTATATAACAAGTAGAAATTTAAATATTCGGTATAAATTTCAATTTTGATCTGATCACTAAGCCTCAAATTCCGTGGTACAGCGGAGAGTGGGTAAAGTTCACACTACATTTCGAAATGCTCTTATTTGACCACATGTATAGAGCCATTGTCAGGGAAGACCTAATCACTCTTCTCTTGGTTAACGTGTTGTTTACGAAATCAGTGCTGATAGCCTGGTATCTAACGAAAACTCAACGCGGATACAGAAGGCTCGACTGGCTTTTGTCAACCTGTGTCATTTATGGATTGAGACCATCGAGTAACCAATGCTGAGGTTAGGAAAAGGATACTGGGTAAGGATTGCAAATCACTTAATGAAGTTACCTAACTACCAACTACAACTATCGACAAGCAATAATGTTTGGTGTATGGATAGGCTGAAATAAAACAAAGAGGCGGTCAAACCAAAATATGGCACAAATCTATGAAGTCACTAACAACTGTACTGAACCATGTTAGTAAGTATAGACTATTTGGTTGGCGTCCGCAAGACAATCGTAACTAGTGGTTTGAGACTTTGAATGATATGGCTTAAAATCACTTGAATTCCTAATAAAAGGTTTTTCTCTTTTTAAATATATTTCACTGAGATTTACTTCTTGAATCAGTTCTTCGACCCCCAATCTTCTCCATTACCGTGAATACTTCGACTACCTCTATTACTATAGGATATGAATTAACGATTCCATTCCTTTGCTAATGTGGTATGGCAACTTGAACTGATGTACGTACGTTGTACCTCACTGACTAACGCATGTATATTTTATTGCACGAATATTTATGTTCTTGAATAAATATATAGATGTTATTTAGTTGACCAATCTGAAGTAAATGTAGAACAATGTGCATTTGCAATTTATTTATAAACATAAGATCGTTTTACTAATGATTCAATCATTGATTCATTATTTCTAACCAATGAAAGCTAAACACAGTCAAAAATTAAATAATCATCACATTAATATTAATTTAGGCGGTTAGAAATAACAATTGTATGGAGCGGAAACTTAAAGAACTACGAAAACCATCATCCAGAAGATACAACTGCCTACGCAAAATACTTCGGATTCGTTGGCCAGACACCATCAGCAACAACGTACTGTGGTAGAGAACAAACCAGATTCCAGTGGAGGAGGAAATCAGGAAGAAGCGGTGGAAGTGGATAGGACACACACTGAGAAAAGTACCCAACTGCGTCACAAGACAAGCCTTAACATGGAACCCTCAGGGAAAAAAAGAAAAGAGGAAGGTCAAGGAACACATTACTCAGAGAAATAGAGAAAGATATGAGAAGAATGAACAAACATTGGACAGAACTGGAGAGGGAAGCCCAGGACAGAGTTGGCTGGAGAAAACTGGTGGGCGGCCTATGCTCCATTGGGGGGTAACAGGCGTAAGTAAGTAAGTAAGTAAGTAGAAATAACATGAAAAAAATCAATTCATTTACCACTAACCATGAAAGTTCATCAATTCGTCCAATCAAATCATTTGTAACTACTTTAAGTGCATTTCTAAAATGAAATATCAACAACAATCATGTAAAAAAATTAATCATTATTAATGAATGAATGAATAATAAAATAAATTTTTCTCCTTTTTTTTAATTTATGAAAATCAATTCAATTAAACAAACATTTTATGTGAGATTCTTTTTTTTATAAAAAATTGATTTTATAGACAAAGATATCATGATTCATAGTAAAAGTAATCAGCTTAAGACAAGTAGTGTATGATTCATTGAAAAGAGATTGTTTTAAAAACGGTATTTAGTTCAATGATCAATGTACACATATTTACGATACATCACCACTTTACAATATTCAATTTTTTTTCTTTGTTCAATTAAAACTTTATCTACATGAGAATATAATCTGGAAAAATGCCTAACAAAATTAATTATTTTCGGGTAGAGTTTTGAAGGTTTTGTGTTTTTACACATTTGAAATCATCAATCAATCATTGTTAGACCACCAACATTAGAAACCTGGAAGCACTGGATGGTCGTTTCGTCCTGGTATGGGACTACTCATCAACAGTGCGCATCCGTGACTCTTGCACCTCGCGCACAATACCGAAGGTCCCGGGTTCGAATCCTGCGAGGTGCAGGAGTCGTGGATACGCACTGCCACTGATGAATCCCATACCAGGACGATTCGGCCGTCTTTCAGTGCTTCCAGGTTTCTAATGTTGGTCTAACGATGATTGATTGATGATGTCAAATGTGTAAAAATTAATTATACACATAATCAGCGTTCAATGGATTTACGACAATGATTCTCAAAGTGTAGCATACATTCAATCGAAACTTTACATATCACTGTAATAACGAAAAAAAAATTTATGAATTTAAAAATTGTAACGACAAATACTGTTGATAAAATTGTTCAGCTAATGAAACAACGGCTATTGATCAGAATAATTTACAGAACATTTATTTATTGTGTAACGTGTTTATGTGATATTTCCTTGATGTTTGTTTTACTACACTAATGGTGGTATGGAGTGGAATGACCTTGAAAAGTTCTATATTAAGTGTTAGGCATGCACGTCAACATGTCAATTTGATAGGCTTGAATTATAACGAGTTTACCTTGGTCGGAAAACGAGAGCGAGGATTGAGGATCCGGCGACAGGACATGCTACTCTAATCCGATTGTCCCAACCCCCGTTGAGTAAAAGAAGAAGACTTGATATGAAGTAGAAGAACATGTATTCTACAAGCATCCAGAAAGTACGAAGTGCGAGTCCAGAAGAAAATCAGGATCCCGGACTAGAGATCCGGGTCCGGGTCATAAAACTTTACAGATAATGCGTATTTATACAGCTAGGTCGAATAGGAAACAATATTTGAAGTACGTGACATTGATAGCTAGGACGACAATAATATTGACCAGTAGGAATTAACCAATAGGAATACACCAATAATTCTCTTAGGATATTGGATGAATATCCTAACATTAAGAGAGATTTCCTGTTACTGTGTTCATTTTTTTTACTTTAGTTGCCAGTTTTTTTTTAGACCACCTGTACAACATATCTAATATGAAAGTCGGAAAAGATTGATTTTAAGTATAGTATTTTGTTTACTATGAAAATTAAGACAGAGTTTTCAAATAATCAAGTTCTACATGTGACACATATAAGTAATTGCATAATGTTATTCCCTACATATGAATCAACCAATAACGAACAGATTACATTGAATTAATTACTCAGTTCAAAAATACAAGTTCACAGTAGAAACAATGTTTCACAAAACGCTTATCAATATTGTTATTTAATGAGTGGTATAATAATACTGTGGTGTGCGCTACTTATAAGTAGTATATGACGTGAGTGTAAACGTAATATCTGGCAGCAGAAGATGGAGGAAGATCAAGAAAGGAGGAAGAGTGGGAACACAATGGAATTTGTATGAAACGCATGAATAGTGAAATGTCAGACAATGGATTGATGATGGATTGAAGATTTGCAAATTACAGATTTACGATATAGTTTTCCTATTTTACCAATTAACTCTGTAATTTTCGTTAAATACAATTCGGTAGCCCCACCTGTGTTCCCGTTCACTACAATACGTGCGAATTTAATTAACAGTATATGACGTTTATTTTGATAGACCTTTTTTAACTTCAAGACTTATTTAGCACTATTTGATTGAGAAATAAAATGAAGAATTGAAATTCAAATTATACTTTTCTTACAACTATTAAGACAAATTGATATCAGCGAACATCATATATCACCAATGGATTGAAAAGCTGAACATTTTCTGAATCAGTATAAGTCTAATACTACACCAAAATAGTGCCCTCAATTCCAAAGATCATTATAATACAAAATGACTCATTAATATGGGCTGATGTAATTTTCTGTTATGTTCAGAGTTCAATTTCCAATAATCATGGTGATAATAATAATAATAATAATAATAATAATAATAATAATAATAATAATTGTGATCTAAAGGTTGTTCTTAGATAAGATTATCATAGTTGCAAACAGATATTCTCTTGAAAATATTTATTTTCATCGATATAAACATATGATAAATGTGAACTGAAATTCTAAGAGTAGAGGACTGAACTAGACTTCGATCATCGTGTCATACAAGCATTGCTTGAATATCGTTGGACGACCGAGTAAGCAATGCTATCGTTAGGAAAGGAGTTCTAGGCTAAGGATGGCAAATCGATAGATGAAGCATTGAAACTTCAGCAGTTGAGGTGGTTGAGACATGTGTTACGTATGCCTAACCACTGACTGCCTTGAATAGCTTTGTTTTGTGGTGAAGGAGTAGGTTGGAAGAAAGATAGGGGCGGGCAGACCAAAACATGGCACAAATCCATGAAGTCACTGTCAGGTGTTTGGGGTATTGTTGGTAGATGTAGGCTACCTGGTTGGGGTCCGCGAGACGAAAGTCACCAATGGTTAGAGACCTTGAACGACATGGCTCAGAATCGTTTGCGATGGCGCAGGTGCATCCACTCTTTGTGTGCTTTTTAATTCTAACCTTCTGAATTCCTCATAATCTCTATCTTTCTCCTTCTAAATTTATCTCACTGAATTATACTTGTCGAATTATACCTTCGCTCCCTAATCTTCTTCATTGCTGCTAATAATTCTACTATCGCTATCACTCTTGGATTTGAACTGACAGTTGCGTCTCTGTGCTGACGTGGTATGGTAACTTGAACTGATGAACTTATGTACGAAGTTCTGCGTCGTATCTGTCTGTCTGTCTGTCTGAACTGAAATTCTGGCGACTGAAAAAAATAACATATTCAATTAAGTACACAATATAAATGACTTCGTAACAATTGAGTTTGATTCCCTTTATCAGTATGGTAATACTTGTTGGAAGCTATTCGTAATTAAATTGATTCAACTTATTTTAAATTATCAGAAAGACTGTCACACATAAAGTTACACTGACTAACGTTGGAGAAAGTATAAATCTCAACAGAATTAGAACTGAAAGTTCCTTATTGTAGTAAAATCCCCGTCTGTAGACCCTTCGAGGCTACAGCCGGTCCCAAGCCCGGATAAAGGAGAAGGGTTGAGATTAGGGTTGGCAACCCCATCCTATAAAAAACTAATTCCCCAAAAAGACGCTAATCAGAAAACATAATTCAAACCATTTTAATCCTGCTTTGGGAGTAAGAAAGTAGTCTTCTATCAGAAGAGTTATGACGTCTCATGATGGAAGCCAAGTTCCTTCGGAGGTCACAAGGCCGGTGCGCCTTCTGACAACCAGAAACCTTCCACGGTGTGGGCAGCCGGGAAGTAACATCCACCCTCATACCCATAAAAACACACGAGACCAAATTAGTCACAATCAAAATCCTTTCTATTGTAGTAAAACGATTGAGTGTATAAAATAAACAAAGTAACACTTAATGCATGTAGACATCAAACTTTTACAATGTTCACTGAAAATATTCGTTTGATTTACAACGTTAAATAAAAAGAATTAAATAAACTATTCGTTCTTACTTTGTTTGAATTAATTCTTGATTCTCTTTTATTAAATTTTGTATTTCTCTCCGTACACCTAGAAAACGCGATAAGAACATCATGATGCGATATGATTTCAGAAAAGAATGATCAAATATTTTTATCATTGGACTATACAATCAGATTTGGTAATCAAATATTTTTACAAATAGGATCATTTCCAATAAATGTTACACTTGAATGAGATATGAACGACAGACTGAAACAATAATTGAGTAATACAACAGTAAACAACTGCCAGTTACTTCATAGTCTTTATTTATCAACTGGCAAGTGACTCCAAGACATTTTATTGCGTAATTAAATACTTAGTCAGTGGGTTAAGGGTTCCGTCAAGTAGGTTAGGCCGATTATTAGTTGCAAAAATTTGAATCATCCCATTTATTTAAAAAAAACTAATGAGTTTTAACTATCAACAACGAGGAAATTCAACCCCTTTATAATACTAACGTAAACACAACACGCATTATAAATGTTAGTGGGGCTGCTTGGACTATTTAGCTTACTGGATAACATGTTAGTTTTATAAGTAGAAACAACTAGTTCCGAGTTCCCATGTCAACATAACCAGGAATTAAGCACACTCAGCTGAAGGGTTCGAAACAGGACGAGACGCTTAATTTAGCTTTAACTGCTAGCCACAAACCATATACATTACAAAGTTTGTCAGGGGTTTGTTGATGAAGGAAATCGCTAGTTAGGATAAATTATCGGTTACGTCGGTTGGGACATGTGTAACGTATGCCTCGTCAAGCTATGTTTTGCGATATAGGAATAGGCTGGACGAAAGCTAGGGGCGGCCAGACTAAAACATGACACAACTCTCTGAGGTCACTGACAAGTGGACTGAGTTATGTTGGTAGATGTAGGCTACCTGGTTGGGGTCCGCGAGATGGTTAGAGACCCTGAGTGACATGGCTCGAGAATGTTTGCAATGGCGCAGGTGCATTTACTCCTTGTGTTCGATACAATATTAACCTTTTGAATACCTCACCACCTTTATCTTCCTCTTTCTAAATATGCCTCACTGAAATATACTTCTTGAATAACATCTTCGAACCCTAATCTCTCCGATTACTTCTTATACGTTCACTACTTCTACTACTATGGGATTTTAATTGACAATTACATCTCTGTGCTAATGCGGTATGGCAACTTGAACTGATGTACGTACGTACGTACGAAGTTCTACGTTGCTGTTGATTAATTAGTCAAATTAAACTTCTACAAGATCTTTTTTATAGTTAAGTGTCAACTGAAGCATCACCTACTGTTGAGTCATTATTGATATACAATACCAAGGATCATCGAGAAGAAGAGCATATATATATATATATACCTTAGCGTACAGCACATTTACTAACTGGATTCCCTGCGCTTACAGTTCATCACCATTTTCTTTAATCTCAGTGGTTTTATTTGATACCAAGTATCAAGTAACTACCTAATTCATTTATTTAGCCGCTAATGGAGTTGTGTGCCTATTGTAAGTCATATTCACATATTCAACTATATGGTTAACTAATAGTATAACCATCAGACTTGATCTTCATTCCACAAATGTTATGCACTTTTTCAAGAGCAGAAAAGTAAACCGGATAAGTTGTTGAACTTACAGTACAGTACTATTGTTAGTAATTAATCTATACACCAAATAATATATTGTGTAAATGACCGCAAGTCTCATTATCTAATTGACTCTGACCCAATTAGTTACCTAGACAATCTTTTTAGTTTCATCCTAGTTACTTGATGATGTGGTCAAATTTCATATGTAAGAGTGTTTACCGTGAATAGTTTCCAAAATATATCAGTATCAAGATTTGGTTTGATAATTTCAAATATATTAAGCACTAAGTAGAATGCTACCATAAAATAATGATTTATTTGTGATATATCAATGCGAAGGAAGCAGAACTTTTAATGTTACATAACTTAATCTAAGCCACTTATCCAGAATAAACAAAATCAATTACCGTAAGTCTAAATAGTATGAAGAAACAAAGCATAATACTTAGTTCAATTAAAACTTTAGAACTGTGCACGCAAAACTTGGCAAGCGATTGAACCTAGTATAGCAGAGAGCATGATGTCTCTGGATTGCTCTTAAGATTTGGTGGTCCACGTCCCCAAATTCAGACAACTGGGTTAACCAAGAGACCATAGAAAATGCATCGGTGATAATCTCATTGCTAATGTAGCGTACGATAAAGGTAAGTTTTCGGCAGAAAGCAAACTTGTTAATAAACCATATCAATTAAAACTTCATCAGTGGTGGTTGGGACATGTGTTACGTATGCCTAACCACCGAATGCCTCATCGAGCTATGTTTTGCGATGTAGGAATAGGCTAGAAGAAAGCTAGGGGCGGCCAAACCAAAACATGACAGAAATCCATGAAGTCATTGACAAGTGGACTGAGTCATGTCGCTAGGTGTCGACTACCTGGTTGGGGTCCGCAAGATGATAATAATCGGTGGTTAGAGACTTTGAATGACATGACTCAAAACTATTTGCAATGGCTCAGGTGCATTGATTCTTTTTGTTCTCTCAAATCCTAACCTTCTGAGTTCCTTATCATCTTCATCATTTTCTTTTTAAATTTATTTCATTAGATTCTACTTCTTGAAATATATCTTCGAACCCTAAAATTTACGATTACTGCTAATACCTTTACTACCCCTACTACTATGGGATTTTAATTGACAATGTGGTATGGCAACTTGAACTAATGTACGTACGTACAAAGCTCTACAATGCTGTCGATTGATTGATTAAATTGAAATTTATGTATTCGTTAAAATTTAATTCGACTTTTTTATTCCATTGTAACGAAAACAATACATAGGCAATTTGAACTAAGTCAATCCTACAATGGTGCTAATCAATTAAGGTGAAGATGATTTTGTATAGTAGCACCAATAAAATAACTCCTTTCAAGCAGCAGTAGTAGTGGTAGTAGTTAGTACATCAGTTAACTGTTGTTGTTTGATTATTTCACGTGATATTTGTTTTATAAAAAGGCAAACTTTAACCGATCAAGTGATTAAGTAATCATGTGCTTTGTGAAATGGATTTCGATTTATATATGTATATATACATACATACATTGGTTATTATACGTAATGCAAGTTACTAAGATTAAAATAACTATACAATTCGATGTAAATACATAAAATTAACCGAATCACACAAAAAAGGTGCAAACAAAACAATAGATTTTGTTATCATTATAGAACACATAATAATAATAATAATCTATAAGTAACAAACATTGTATCATCATCAAATCTAGTGGATAAGATGTTTCTATTTAATATTGAACGTACAAAAACTATCTGTCGCTGTTTTGATTGATGCTGTTTAACGAATGTATTTTGATTACTTGTTTTAAATTGAATACTGATTAGTAGTTCAATATGTGCTAAGCCATATATATATCAATGATATAAGACTACTAAGGGTGGAATAAAAATACATCGACTTCAAGAGTTTGACTGTATTTATCTACATGGTGTTGTTTGTAATGTGATGAACTAAGTAAATTTGGGATTAGGGAGGTTAGGTATGTTGGCAGAGTTAACAACTTGTAGTAACTATTAGTTTGGATAGCTAATATCTATCCCTAATCAGTGTCTATCCTGACATGCAGTGTTCGCTTATTCAAAATTAACCCAATGAAAAGTTATGAGTAATCAGATCAAGACAATACACTGGTTTGTCACAAAGTTTTGCATGTAAGAGAAGTTGGTTATCAAGGATACTAGGATGATATGTTTCAAAAGTGAGTTAGGACGTAACTACCTAGTCTACAAAACGGCATCTGAGACTTTATAATTAAGCTTCATTGCAATACGTGTCGTATAATAAACACTGGTCTGTCTATGAGCCACTAGTTAGGTATGAAGTAAAAATATGTATGATTAATTTATGTTAAACTGTCTGTGTGCAGTTGTCTCGACAATTTGTATAAATAAATATATCAACTAATAGATTCCATGTTTGATTTCTTGTATTGTTTATTTGGGTTACAGTGATCAAGTTGCTATTTTTACACACACAAAAAGATATTAAATGTATACCAATAAGATTACACTGACATTTTAAGGTCACAAATATTTAACTTAAGAAACCGCGAGAACATCTATTGAAAAATTTCCGACTTGATTGAAGAAATACAAAAAATATCTCTTCTCCTATTATCACCTATGATAGATAACTGGGATGAAAAAACGATTGAATGAATTGAGAGTTGATCGAATGAAATCAAAATATTGCCATATTGCATAAAATAAAAATGACTGTATAAATTGATGTAGTTATAAATCAGGAGATCGAGAAACACACTAATTGTTAATCAGATTATAAATTAAAAAAAATAACAGTTTGTTAGATTAATAATATTAAGAATCACTAAATTTAAAGTACTTTGAACAATTTACACTAAAGATAGCAGTATGGTTAGAGTCATGTATTTAGATGTGATTTAATTGTTTCGACTAATTAAATTCCCTAGATAAATAAATTGAACAGATTCACCTAATAATTTATTAGTAATTTAAACGAAAATTATTAGTCCATCAATCGTTTTTAAATGTTGTCAGTGCCTTCACAACAGCTTATACTACTCAATGTAAATCATGTCAGTCAATCAGTCAGTCAAATGCAACGTAGAACTTCGTACTTAAGTACATCAGTTCATGTTGCCATACTACATTAGCACAGAGATGTAATTGTCAATTCAAATCCAATAGTAGAAGAGGTAGTAAAGGTATCAGCAGTAATCGGAGAGGTTAGGATTAGAAGATATTATTCAAGATGTATGATTAGGTGAGATAAGTTTAGAAAGACACAACTAGAGGTGTTGAAGAATCCAGAAGATTAGGAGTTGAGAGAACACAAAGAATAAATGCACCGGCGCCATTGCAAACGGTTCTGAGCCATGTCGTTCCAAGTCTATAACCATCGATTAATATCATCTCGCGGACCTCAACCAGGTAGTCGACAACTACCGACATGGCTTATTCCACTCGTCAATGACTTCATGGATTGCTGCCATGTTTTGACCTAGCACCCGTTTCCTAATAACAGCGTTGCTCAGTCAGGCTTCCCAGGATATACGAATAATGCTTCGAATGTAAATCATGAGGACACTATTATTGTTGATAGCGCCAAACATTTAGAAACGACTGTTGAACAATAAGTTTTCCGAAACAGTTTCAGTCGACTAAGTGAGTGATGAAACGAATACGTGCTATCAGTTAATGAAATCAATAACTGTTGGACTGAGCCTTGTTGCTAAGTGCACATCAACTCATTAGGCCCTGTCTGGTTTTGGAAGCTTTTGGATAACGTGGTTCAAGAACAGTCGTACTGGCACAGAATGTATACACACTTTATCTCCCAGTAGATTCTGTGTTTGAAAATTCCATACATTTTACCTTACGAATTCATTCTCTGTACTTGATGCGTATCAAGTACTTAATGTTTCTTACTACTATTGACACTGCTACTCTACTATTCTGATATTCACTTCAGTATATAGGTGTAGCGATAACTTCCGATGATACGTACATGTTTATAGGATAGAACAGTATGATGATAAATTTATTAAAAAATTCCCTTATTCAATTTCTAATATTTAATGTTTGAATCTGTAATAAGGCGCGATAACAATTGTCTGTTTCATTTCTGATATGGCTGAATTTCATCGATTATGATAATTTTACAACACCGCAACGAATGTCAAGTTAAAAATGTGAATTAATGATCAAGCATGAAGCGCGCTCCATGTGAGGTCTATATATGACCGTATGCAGATTTGTGGGTGTACATTTCTGAAATCCTAAATTGGAATAAGACAATTATTTAGCGCTTTTGGTCAGATATAATCCTCTAGTCGATGTTATTTACTGAGGTGAAAATTATTCAGCGTTTAATGCATGTTTTCATTCAAATATGAATGAACGCATATATATTCAATCAATTCATATTCACTAGTTCAGGGAATTTGTAGAGTTGTAAAGGTTTCAACGAATCTTAGAGATATTGGATAGCTTTTTCATCCTGATACCAAACTTCTTAGAAGTGCGTGCCCACGATCCTGTATCGTAAAATTATTTGAATTTCAACATGAAAACAGGTGTATAGAGGTTTAGAGATGAAGCGTTTGAACGCAAGACCGAAGGTTGTGAATTCGATTTCAGCGTAAGAGGTTGTGGATGCCCACTTCTAAAGAGTCCCGTATTAGAACAAAATGGTCATTCGATACTAAGATTAGATCATGATTTAGAATAATTTACTGAACTTATTTTAACTAAAAGACTTAATCAATATGAATTAAGGGACTTTGATGCAACGCATGCAAAACTAATTGAATGAAATCAATCATGTCTACACAAAAATTCATCATCCAATCAACGTCAACCAAAGGATATTTAGTCTAACATTGATTGATTCATGGTTTCAAAAATGTGTAACTTAACAATCTTCACAACCCCGTAATGCAAATTACCTGTGCTCACTAATGACTAGCTTCGTGAGGAATCTTCTCCGAGTTCTAGTGGGAAGACGTGACCAGTGAAGTTCAACCTGTTCGGGTGTAGACAGTGTCTACCGAAGACTGTGTATGAGGTTGTGCAACTCCGTGAATTTGATCAAGTTAGACATTAACACCATTAGAAACCGGCTCAGTGATCTAACGGTTAGGGCGTTCGCGCACAATACCGAAGGTCCTGGGTTCGAATCCTGTGAGGTGCAGGAGTCGTGGATGCGCACTGCTAATGAGTAGTCCCATACCAGGACGAAACGGCCGTCTTTCAGTGCTTCCAGGTTTCTAATGGTGGTCTAACATTGATCGTCGATTCATGGTTTCAAAAATGTGTAACTTAACAATCTTCACAACAACCCCGTAATGCAAATCACATTCAGACTAAATAAAAATAACACCATGAACTAAGAAAATATTTTATGAAATCACTAGAAACCAGAAATACTATATACACAACACTTAAATGATTATTTACTAATGAAGAGGTACATTAATATATATAAATACATTTTGATTATCGAGAAAAAAAAGAGACACAACCACTACAATTGAACATTCTCACATATTGACAAAGCAAATCATTACACATAGTTATGGTAACATAATCTTGACACCCAAACGAACAACCGAACAAACTGAAGGCATACAATGAAAAAAAGGAAAGTTACACTTTCACAAACAACTATAATACATGCATGCTGAGCAAAGCGCGCTACACCATTTGAAAATGCATATAATATTTGATGAGAAGAAAAAAGTGAGCATTAAAAAAGTGAAAAATTCTAGCAAACAACAACGACAACTACAGACACAGACACATTGAATAAAACAATGACAAATTAACACATTAAAAAAAAAAAACAAGCCACATTGAAGAAATACATACACTCACTTACCAGCATAATCAGTAATATCACCGTCTATTTCCAATTCAACAGGTTCTATGTAAATTATTTAAAAATGAACTAATTCTAATGCCTTCTTACATCAAATACTACATTATCATGGAATAAAAAAACGAACTGACTAAAAATTGTGTGAATAAGAGTAATACATACAATCTAATCGAAAGGTTTTCAAATGAAAACTAATCAATAACAACTAGTCGGTTTGGGGGAAATATTCCCAATGAAAATTAACATTTGAAGAAAAAAAAGAATATTTCATTGGAAGTAAACTGTGATAACAGTTATTGTTATTGATTTATGATAATGACAATTGGTAACTACTACAATAAGAAAGGAGATTGCCAATTTCACATTAAGGTTATTTCAGTTACTTAAAGTTTATAAGTAGTGACGAAAGGTAAGTTATTGGTTCGCTTGAATAATTAAAATAATTACATATCCTTTTGAAATCATGAATCGATCAATGTTAGACCATCATTAGAAACCTGGAAACACTGAACGGTCGTTTCGTCCTGTTATGGGACTCATCAGTGGCAGTGCGCATCCACGACCCATGTACCTCGCAGGATTTGAACCCACGTCCTTCGGACTTGTGCGCAAACGCCTAACCTCTGGATCACTGAGCCGGTTTTTAACGGTGTTAATGTCTAACTTCGATCAATTCACGGAGTTGTGCAACCGCACACACAAACAATTAGTACTTGCAATCATTCATATGATCTTTTGGTGTTTTGTTTGAAGGTTTAAACAAAGAGAAAATCATTCATGCGCCCTAAGAATGTTTGAAACAATGCGATAGTAGAGTTGATATGTTTATTGTTTTGGATATGGAAACGTTAACACCAATCATTGGAGTTTAAAGATTCTAATACAATCATGCAGAGGTAATTTGATACCACTATAAATTTAGCGAACTGTGTTGTACAGTAATACTACCAAAATCAATTATTATTCACACAGTACTATAAATAAGAATTAATCACACAAATTACTGATCAAGTACACGTCGATGTACTTAGCTTTAAGTTACTCTTTTTATCTATGAACGTTATTTGACAGTAGTCCATTACTTAGACCGAAATGAGGCGAAATTCAAACTTGGGACTGATTGGTAGGAATTCAAGGGCTTTAGTGACTGGGCCACCATTTAGGTTGACCGTATATGAAGAAAGTATAGTGTTTGGCAAAACAAATGAGTTTCATATCCATGACTATTCACGTTACATTTGACTTGTTGTGTTCACTAAATTTCGCATTAAAAATCGTTGTATCATTTGAGTACATGGAACTGTACTAATCAATGGTAGCGAGTTTATTACCCTACTTATTTAAAAAGTTGCATCAAATCTGATGAATCAGTGTTTAATGAAATTTTGGCATGCAATCAGAAGACTTAGTTAACATGTGTTAGTTCGCGTTATTCATATCTAAACCAAAGAACGAGTATACGGTGCAGCAGTTTTTTGTTCTACTTGGTAGCTGTGAAGCGTGGCCTCTAAAGATGGCGGATATATGTAAGTTGCTAGTGTTTGAGTATAATAGGCTTTGAATGATCACTACGGTGTTAAGATTATCAAGTGAGAAATGTCAAGGTTAAATGCAAGGGGCGAAGCATGGATGGAAAATTAGTTGGCTGGGTTGTGACACCTCAACAACCGAGGTAGCTGGAACATGAACTACGTACATATAACAATCACCTACCTGAGAACGTGAAACGTTTCCTTGTATGGTAGAATGTTGAAAAGCTAGTAGCGACCAAACCATTTTCAGGAGGACGTTTTTCAAACCCATGTCCCGTTGTGGTAAAGCATTATTATAGGAAAGGCTGGTTATCCATGAGAAACTTTTGTAGTGCTACACCACAATGCACTAGGTAATATAGCAACGCTTCCCGACTTTTACCTCTAACCCTATACAAACAAACTGCTCCCAAGAATACGTGTTTCAGTCCAAAAAGGGGTTGGGTCTTGACAACAGACAAGCCCAATTACAAAATCAAAGTAGTAAACTTGGTACCGCAGTCAGTATGGAGTTTTAACATTTTCCGAATAAAACTTATGAGATAACTTACCAGCAAACTCGCTACCCAACGGTTCACCAGATTGTGGTTGTGGGGTTGTACTCGAGCCGTCGTGGCCTGGAAACGGAGTGTAAAATGTCAGTGAGAGCATGGAGTGAAAACGTCGAAAACTTGAAGAGTAGTTTTGAATTAAAGAGACTACTTAGTTAGTCCCGACTCTTTCGACTTACCACAAACATCTTAACAACAAGTGCTTGAGTACTATTTGACACAGTAAACCATGACAATTTAGTAAATAAGCTGAAGTAAAAGGGTACTATGTAAGGATGGAAAATCAGGTAACGAACTAGTGAAACTTCATCAGTTAAGGAAGTTGGGATATATGTTACGCATGCCCAACCACCAACTACGACCATCAACGAGTGATGTTGTCTAATATATGAGTAGGTTGGAAGAAAGCCAGGGGCGGTCAGACCAGAACATGGTACGAATCTATGAAGTTAAAAACAATTGGACTGAGCCATGTTAACAGGTGTAGACTGCCTGGTTGGGGTTCGCGAGACAGTCGTAACTAATGGTTAAATACTGAGAATCATATAACTCACAGTCGCTGGAGATGGAGAAGATGCATCCGTTCTTCGTCTTGTCTTAAATTCGAATCTTCTGAATTCCTCATCAACTCTATCTTTCTCTTTTTAAACTTATTTCACTAGATTATACTTCGCTAATCATACCTTTGATGCCTGATCTTCGCCACTACCGCGAATACTTCTACTACGTCTACTACCATAGGATTTGAATTGACAATTAGATCTCTCTGTACTGATATGGTGCTGCAACTTGAACTGGTGTTCGAACGCAGTAAGTTCTACGTTGTAGCTAACTGACTGAAATGAAATGAACCATAGCCTTAGAAAGTAATGGACGTAATAGTAAGATATTTACGACGCACAGAACTTTGAGGCGCTCTAGCAGCTAAAAGGACTTACTTTTTATGTCATGCCCATCGTCTTCCGGTAAGTCACCTTGCGATAATTCATCGAAACATGGTTCTGAAAGTCTTTTTGCTAAAAATGAAAATTGAAAACGACAAACAAACGAGGAGTTATTGAAAAGCCTTTCGCCACTATAAAGTTCTGGGGTTGTTTCCATGATGACTCGCATAATTTTTTGTCGTTCTGTCTCTAAAGCTGTGATTATTCAGGTAAAAGAAATTCAATTAATCAAACTTTCTGCGTCCAACATATTGCTAAGTCGGTTTAATTGGTCCAATGCACTGCGTTCAGATGTTTGAGCAGACATTTCAACTCCAAAGCAAGTGTTACCACCGGGATAAGGACTATTGGGAAGACATGGACTGTCTAATTTGCCTTTGTTAAACATTGACCTAACACGCTCTACATATTCAAGGTATGCACGCAGTAGGTTGGTGTATAAACCATGTAGACGCTGATATTCCTTTTTCATTTCTGTTTCTTGTTCTTCGAACCTCGAAACTTGGTACAGTATTACCGAATTGCGTAGGACTTACTTTGATCACTCAGGCTTTTCACTCTGTTTTCAAGAACGCGTATATTAGCGTCATAAGTCGCAGTTTTTTCTTCATGCTGTTTGCGTTCCTCTTCTAGATCATCTTCCAATCGGAATAACTTCTATATTAATTGAATGGATATTCATGTACCAACAGCAACTAACATTTTCAGCAACTTTTCTCAGTTTCTTCTCTTTTTCATATTCGCCTGAAAGTAGTCTATGATCATCGCTTAACACAAGTGACTTCAGATGAAGGTCAGAGTTTTCCGAGTGCAGACTATCGAGATTTTCTAATGCACGTATTACCAACGGCATTAAGTTGTGAAGGAAACCATGTCCGTATAGTTTAATTAAGGACTCGAACTCCTTGTATATATCATTTGCTAAATCCTGAACGTTCTGAGATATTGGCTGCGATCCGTCATCAGTACTGCTAATTGCGTCTTCGCAGTCATCTGATGATTGAAGACGCTGACTGGCTTGCATATGGTTATTTAGTTAGTTAAAGGTCATTTTTATAAACAAGCTGTCTGAGTGTCCTAAAAAATTAACGTATACAAACACTGAATGTCTCAATGCAATTTCTTTCATACAATGTAATGTGAACTAAAATGATGCATTTATTTTATTCAGTAGTGCGCCTTCGGATTTTTTGGAGAGTTTAATAATGATAGTTCGACTATTCAGTTACAAGAGTCATAGTAGATTAGACAATCATTTGGGTGTTGATACATCTTGGGCTCAACTGGATCGGATTATTTTAAGACAATGTGGTTATCGTAAAGGGTGGCTATGAACTCGTGAAACCAAGAGGACCTGTGTGAGGCACTTTACTCCTGATTTAACCTGAAGAAAGGACCGACGAAATCCCCTCACACTTGGGTTATTTACTATCAAATGACCAATTACTAGTTAAAGATATCGTATCCACTCACAAGTAGAGACTAGTAACTGTGGCACTGCATAGTGTAATGTGATCAGTTTTATGCCCCGAAGAATACTGAAGTAAATAGTAACCCAGTTTATGGATGGTTATTGACATCGTATATTTGTATGATTACTAAGTAACTCGATTATCATTTACACATATTTCCTATATTCTATGCTCTGGAATAACTCATTAACTGCAGTTTCATGATTAATTGTTCATAATCTGTGTTGTTTATTATTTGCAGCCTTACCTACCCAAAACCAAATTTTGCCAACTTAAGTGTGGTCGTTCATTCTCATTTATAGGTAACCTGTCTTTGTTAGTCGTATTTCATTGGGACAGGTTATCAATGGGCTTGGCTCAGATTAGTCGAATTCTTCGTCCTTGTTTTATATTTGTTACTGAAAGGTCTTCTGTGATGTTAGTTGGCGTAAGGACACTGCAGTCATAAATGAGAATACTTTATACCCTAACTGCACCAGGAAAAAAAACGTGAATATAATGTAGCATCATCAAAACGTCACATGTTCAAATCTCTCAATATCCCCATGAACTCACATGATTTGTATCGCTTGCTTTTGACCTTGTCAATCATTCGTCGCTTTTATTCATGTGTGTGCATACCTATTTCGCTTGTCATATGTCTGTCTTATTTTTGTATGACTATAAATTCTTAGTCATGCTTTGTCTCAGTGAGTTGGCTCTTAGCCTTCTCCAATTCGCTTCGCCCATTCGCTCACATTGTAATCCAAAGAGTTGGCTCTTAGCCTTCTCCGATTCGCTTCGCTTTGTGGTGTTTCCCGAATAAACGTATTCATCAATAGGAGTTCATGTTCTGATTTATAAACCGAGCTTAAGAACACGCAGTTAAACGACACACTACAAAAATGGTGAGCGCGTCGTTCATTCATATCACTCCCTACTTGCTTCGCTCGATTCATCCGTCCATACGTCTTCACAGAAGATCAGTTAACCATTTTTTCCGGTGCCAGTCGGCGAGGTTTCTCCGTGACTGGGTGTCTGCAGGTCACGTTGTGGCTTACTACATAATTCATCACCGGCTGAATCTCCTTAGTTCGGTTACCTTAGGGAATTTATCAAACATAACAAGAAATAAAGAATCATGCCAAAACAATATTAGTGATTTGGTACACATCTGTTGGAACATTAAAACCCCCGGATTTAATATTCGACGAAGTATCGATTAACTGCATTCTGCGTGAATAGAATAAAAATTCACATAGCTGTAGGTAATTGATACTGAGTACGGGTGTAGGAAAATCAGCTGGGATGAACATCCACAGATACTGTCGTCGACTATTCAGGCTGATCGTGTACCATAGGTAGGGATGACTTAGGCCATTCTTAGCGTATGGTCGAAGCAATGTAGCTTGAGATCTGCTGCTACCAGATGGTACGACAGAAACTTAGGCATATGTGGGCAGTAGGTACCTAGCGTTAGTGCAAAAATCTCGAACGTAAAAGAAACGAGCGACCTGAGGTAACGAGGAGGAGACTGGTGGAAGTGCAATGACCTGCACCTCGGAGTCTATTGTTATCGCTATCTACCATTTTAAAACATTGTTGCAAATGTAATATATATAAAAGGACATTATTAATAGTATTGGAACTTGGTAAAATGAGGATAGATCAACAATAGACTCAACGTAATTGACTTCTTTGGATAAAACGTCAGTGTTCTGTTGGTAGTGTATCCATTTAACTTATAACTCAGTGCATCAATATTGAGGTCGTACAAGCTTTTCGCCCCAAAAAATTATTTTCCACTGATGGTTGGACTATTTACTTGTAGTGAGTCATTCAGTGTCTAGCTCACATGACTTGTCCCACTTGTCTTTTTACCTTGTCACTCATTCGACGCTTGTATTCATGTTTGTGCATGCCTACTCGCTTACATGTCTATCTTATTTTTGTCTGACCGAAAATTCTTAGTCATGCTTTATCCCTTAGAATCGGCTTACTAGCCTTCTCCCTTTCTCTTCATCCATTCATTCGCCAATTAATTCGCTTGCTTGCTTATTGGCGCTCACATGACGATTTTATCTTATAGCGCTTGTAGTCTGCTGTTCTATTTGTGGTGTATCAAAAATAAACGTATTCAACACTTTGGTTTCACATTCTGATTTATAAACCATTAGACGCTAGTTAGTAACGATTGTCTGGACGAGCTAATCAGGAAGATTAAGAACACGTCGAAATCGGCCACCACAAATCTGATGGGCCCGACGTGATATGGGCCACCTATGATGACTAGAAGTCTGCGAATCAAGAATTACGAGATGAGCACAAACGAATGTATTGTATTTAGAATTCGAAATCAAGCATTCAACGACAACAAGTAGTCACTAGTTAATTCAAACACCACAACCGCCACAGCTTAAATTGGAATCCAAGTGTCTGTAATCAATTGTACGTCTTCTTCTCAAATTCATCCTGTGTCTGTCCAACAGTGTATTAGATAAAGACTCTGTATTATCTAGAATGCTCTCATTAGTATTAGAATTAACAACCGAAATTGGAACAGACTCACCTGGTTCCTGGAATTGTATTTGATCAACATATCGATTGTGTGTACTTAAGTTATTGATATCTAGAAGTCGCACCATAGATTTCCCAACATTCTTCAGAACAATACCCGTGGACGGTCGAAGATCATTGCCACGATAAATGTCCACTATGAAGATCTTCAAGGACAGCATTAAGCAATCAACGAGGAATAACAACCCGATCATTTAAACTCAAAATACCATCAGGAGTAGTCGATAGCTTATCCCGCTCTGAAAAATAGACATGGAATCTACGTTTCAGATTAGCATTCCAACCTTTCCGTATAGTATTAATTATACATCTAAAGTTTCTACGAGTTCCTCTAATGAGATCTGGATGTTTCACTGGCTGAGGTTGCACCAACAAACAGTCTGAAGTATTAACAGGTTTATCTTATAATGACTGTCGAAAAATGTAGTCAACATGTTGAATTCGTTTGGCACTCCTGTGCTGAATCGTTTTCATACCTCCACTGCACTTAGAACACTTGGCTATCAAATCTTTAAGTAAAGCATCAGAATTTTCTTTAGAAACTAGGAGAGACAACTCCACTTTAAGCCTTTTCAAATTCTTTAAACCCAGTATTGACAGTCCCGTTTCGCTAACTAAGAATTCACAAGGTATGTATGAGGAATCATCATCTCTTATTTGCAATTCACAACACCCTCGTATAGGCAGTCTGTGTCCAGTAATCCCCAATATTGATACTTCAGTGGGTCGTATCACAACGTTAGGATCTAACAATTTCAAATTATTGAATGAAATAATGGACTCTATACTGCCTGTGTCCACAATAAAGTCATGACATGAACCAAGCGATGTATATAGTCGCTTTTGAATATGAGCATTACCTTTTGAAATGGTCGACAAAGATAAATGATCATTAGGATCAGTTGAATTATTGGGATCTAAATTACAAGATATAGTACTACTTGAGGCAAAATGAACAGTAGCTTTGCATACTGCCTGAATATGTCCTATCTTACCACATCTAAAACATTTAGCATTGCGAAATGCACATGAATTACGACAATCAAGTTTTCCACATGATAAACATTTGCCAAACTTGGTCTCACCTTTGTGATTTCCTTTGTAATTCTTTATTGAAACACCGTTCATATTTACACGAGAATAGGAACCTCTGTTAAACGAACACAATTTTGATTGACCCTGAGATTGTTTTTCATCATGACAACTAATCAAAGTATTGGAAATCTGCATCGACTGAATATCAAGTTCATTCAACGCCTCGTAGTTAATGCACGCAGTTCTAACATCTTGAAAGGAACAGTTCGACATTCTTAACAGCTCTCTTTCCCAACTAGGTATGTTAATTCCTGCAATTAATCGGTCTCTCAGCTGCACATTAAGTTGATCACCGAAATTACATTTGACAGCCTGTTTCTGCAATTCAAGAATGAATTCCTTAACATTTTGGTCATTTTGACGAATCATCTTATGAAATTTCGCTCTTTCACGGCATTCAAAACCAGGGCACTTTACATGATTTAATAATAACTCCTTAAGCGCTGCATGGGAAAGTGAGATAGGTTTTTCTGGATATGCCAAGGTTTTTATAACTTACGCTTCTTTTCCGATGAATGTTAGGAAATGAGCCACAATTTTATCATCTTTGACATCTTTCCTGGTCATACTCCAGATTTCAAACCTTTCCAAATAATCTTCAAAAGCTTCAGAAGTAGAATGAATATCTAGCTGTTCCATTACAAGTTCCATCGCGACGTCAATATGATGATTAGAAGTATGTGAATCAATAATTACGAGATGAGCACAAACGAATGTACTGTATTTAGAATTCGAAATCAAGCATTCAACAACAACAAGCAGTCACTAGTTAATTCAAACACCACACCACCACATAATACACCCCCACCATATTTTGCGCCAGTGTCTAAGTTATATGAAATGAATGATTTAGACCATACTCCTTTATTTGTATTTGTAGATCTAGTGTTCCTTCTGTTGT